TATGTGTTTTCTTTATAAGGCTGAGATGACGCGGAAGGAGGTGCTGCTCACCAGGGAAGGTCATTTAATTAACCCGGCCAACTGAAATGAGATGTATATGTCTATGTGCTTGTGAATACGCTGGGCTCTAATATGCTTTCCTTATCTCTAAAAACTCCTTTTACTCTTCCGCCGTTTGCAGTAACATAGCTAGAAAGCTTCGTGACACTGCGAGTCCAACGTGCTTGCGTATAGTTTCCTGCACAAAGAATTTAAGCGCAGGTAATAACGAATTGGTGCGGCATGTGCTCTCGACTACTCTAGGCCCTGTAGTGCAGGCGCCAGGCACGTTCGCTTCGAGCAAGTGCGATATTCGTAATCAGGTAGTAGGACTCCCCATTTGAGCCAACTTTGGCCAAATCTGAAATTTTGACCTGACCTCGAAAATTCGGGCAGTCACTCACTTATCCACTAATCCATACAAAAGGCTGGCACTGGGGTGAAGTAAACCTTCTAAACACTTCAGAATAGACAAAAATGGTGTCTGGCTTGCCCGTCTGCATCATCCAAAGATCTGCAAATTATTTCCTAATACAACCCTCTCTCCCTTTCCCCGTCGTCCATGATTGGTCAACCCAAAAAAGTGGAGTTTGAGGAGTGGTAATCCCATCACTGCTCCGCTTTTTCTCAATTAGTTCATGACCTCAGATTTGGCAAGAAACTCGTTTTAGGGTAGTTTGATCCCCTGAATACGAATATCGCACTTTGCCACGGAAAGCATAACCCTGCACCAAGGGCACCATGGGCACCCACAGACAAGTATAGCTCAAACTTGAGAAGATCCTGCTCGCAAACTCTTCGTGGATGTAGCGTCGGACTATCGTTTATGAAATAACGAATTGGAAAAGGCTTTTCAGCTATGTTGAAAAGAAGCAAAAAACTAATTCCCGGAAGGAACCGAACCCTGCATCAGAACCAAGACCGCTACCAGCTCCGCTACCGAACTTCCACGGCGGTTCTTTCGTGACTTTTATAATGGAGCTTACAAGTGATTGCAGGCCGGACACCGAAAATCAAGGGCGGCGACAAAAACCCTACTTAACCCCTCTCAGAAAAGAGTTTAGCAGATAATGTAAACAGGTTTGAGCTCAACGTCTCATGCTGCATACAGAAATGAGAGCACCTCATAAAATTTGGCCAGGTTGGCTAATGAGCTTTCTGTTCAGCAAAAATTTTCGTCTCGCTCGAAAAAGACGAAACATCCGTACTTATTTTGCACAGTAAAACCTTTTATTCGAACATTCGCGGGTGTGCAAGCAACCATTAGTAGAAAAATTCTATAGTTGCACGCATTTTGAGTTAGTTATGAGGAAAATGAAAAACATGGCAATCCAAGTAGTCAGCCACAGCTGCGCATTGTAATATTTATGATCGACTCTTTGGTTAAATCATAAAGTTTGAGTTAGCTGCCGATTGGATACTATTTCTTTACCTGAGCTCCAAGGGCCTAAGATCTGCGAACTAGTGAGATCCACAACGATAATAATATAGAAAGCCAGCGATCCACATAGCTTCTACCAAGTGCACGTCACTCCCCGTGACACGCCTTCTCCAATTCTCGGATATCGAGTATAAATTCATGTGAAAAAAGTGCGGTTTGAAAGGAAAAATTTCTATTCGAAAAAGAGGTAATAGTCATCGGACATCCTAATACAAATTCAATGAACACTTGGAGTCCTCTTGAAGAAGTTTATCTGCGGCGCTCGTCATTTGCATTTTGTTTTATTTTTAATAGCGATTCAAGCGTAGCCCGGATTTTAACTTTCTGAAGCGGCTGCACGTACATTTGAAAACTGAGCCTCTGAATGGAAGGTGGTGTACTTACTGCTAATTTAGTTTCGGAAGCAGGAGGTATAGTCACATATTCCACACTCTGAGGTCGGAATGGCTTCCTATTCGGAGGTAGCGGTCCCACCATTTTCGTATGCAGGAGATAGGGATCATCTGAAGCATTTCGAGAGAATTAGGTTTTCAGGACACAAAAAAAATTATCGTAATAACTTCGTATAGCATAATCAAAATCATAATCGACAATAATAAATAATGGAAGGGTCTTCATAAAACGTAAATGATGGATCTGTCATCGGAGCCTCCTGATGGCGATACAGTAGGTTTTGCTCAGTTTTTGACGAAGTCGCCCAACAATGGAAAACTGGCTAAGTCAGGTATCATACTTTGCAGCAGACGTGGCGTTACGCGCAAAGTCTGACATTTGCCTAATGGACATGGAGCAGAATGAATGCTGAAGGGAAGCCTAAGCAAATTTTGGCAACAACAACTCACAAATCGTGAAAGGACTATGAAAAACAGTTCCAACGTGTGAGGATGTCACCTTTTCGGTTTTTGAACTCGTCCACGAGCGCTTTCATATTTTTCCATGATTCATCGATCACATCCTTATTGGTACGTCCATAAGAGATCGAAACACGAATTAGATCTGTATCGATGGTACTCGGTACGAAAAAGCTTGAGCGCTGCAGGAGCGCGCCGGGAATATGGAGATTACCTGTATTCTATTCGTTAACACATTGACGACAACGCGGGGGATATATATCCCGCGCATTGCAGGCCGTGTCGGACCGTGCGGGGGATATATCCCCCGCACCCATTACACTAATTTTTTTCGCGCACGCCTGGTTCTTCTAGAAGTTTCTTGTAATTATTGAATGGAGGAGACCTTGACCTAGCTAAAAACATAGTGGTCCATAGAATGGTCACGTATGCTTCAATTTAGAGGAGGATTTCTGAACCATACGAAATCTTCAGCCTAATAAATTTTTCGTTTACTTTTTCTTCCTATGAATGTGAAGGTTTAAATAGTAGTAGAAGTAGATACGGTACCTTAGAGATGACAATATATGTGTTTTGATTAAAATAATCAACTCAAAATTGCCTTTGAAGTTTATTGCAGCTTGTTCTAAAGAATATCACTTTTTCATTGTTATTCCATGTCTTTCAATAGAAATTCCGCTACTGTACCTCCGAGTAGGGTTGTGCTCATTACAATATATTGATCTGGCCTTGTATTGATCATTATTTATGTTTTTATCACTCAAAATTTGCTTGAACAACCTGAGGCGGCGGCGCTCGCAAAAACGCCGTGGTCCCACGTGGCCAAAAGTGCCAAAACTCGCGTTGTCGTCAACGTGTCAACGTGTTAACAACTCTTACCTATGGGGTAGTAGGTAGGAACGCCAGTCGCTGGCGCCTGCTTAGGACAACGCCACAGTTATGTGCACTATCATAAGCCCCAGTGTTTCACCTGCTTCTAGCAGGAATGGGTGCGACTACTCTTTAGCCATAGACGCCCTCTCGCGGCACAGTTCGATGCAGCGGGCAACCTCGAGCTAGAGCATCGGATACGTTTAATTGAGAATATGGAGCAGATGGGCACTTTGAAATGAGGTTGTTTTGCAGTTCTCTGTTCCTGAGCCTCAGCTTCTTCCAACTCATCACTACAGGTGTAGTTTCGGGCAGATCCCTATTCGTGACACAGCTTCGACACAATGCTCAACATTCCCATAAAAACATACCTTAGTGTGAGTTACGTAGAGCTTATGAGACTGGTTTATGAACTGACATAGATTTTCTGTGTAGGAGTTGTTGTCCTCCTTACTGCATCCTGGCTCCTGGAGATGAATTAGTTAGGGCATCAACTGGAATTTGGTGAAGACGTATAGATATACCTCGTAGAAGACGTGAAAATCGCAAGTTTTCGAGAAAAGATCCTCAACAAAGGATGTGTGGCAACCAGAGATTCGAAGTAAACGCACATTTCCACTGCCTGCATAAGAGTGCTGCTGATTCAGTTTGTAAGCATTTTGAAGTCGTAGTTTACAATGAACAGGGAACTCAATAGAAATTCAGGCAGAGGTGATCAGTGGCGCAGGTGTGGTAGAAGACCACGTAAAAGGGCCCACAACCCGAGAATGGGACCCTTCTTAGCCGTTGGTTTCTGTATTGATGCCTCTCATAGGTGCTGTCTTTTCGAACGCTAACCGCCTCCGTGCCAATTTGGCGTCAGAGTTCAGACCGGCGGTGGGGGCATACAGGAAGACGCGAGGCGACACGCATATGGATGCCAGGCTCTGGGACGCACTCCTAACTGTGAAACGTGCAGCGTCCCAGCCTGAGGGAGCTCGCTTGCCTTTCAACTAGTATATATCCAGCACTTCTACCTCCAACCTTAACGTGAAATCCTTTAAATATTTTAACGGTGTAAATACTCACATTATTTAGATGGTAGCGGAAGCCCTCTAATCCATTCAGCCTCAACGCCATCCATATCTTCATCGCTTTGTTCCGTCGACTTCTATGTATGCCCCATTCCCGTATGTCAGTACTGTCTAAATCAGAGCAGTAGAACCTGAGAAAGAGGCACAGGTGCAGGAAAGACAGGGGCGACTGTCAAGACATGATGCTCTATACATCTGGGAGCTTGTTAACGTTGTTCACGCAGTTATTCTTGTGTTCTAATGGACGCTCGCACATAAAAGATCTTCAGGTGACGAGACAGAGTCAGTACAGAGAAGAGGGTGCTCTCATAGACAGGGCAGGAGGGAGGGGGTGCAAAAGTCACTTCGGCTAATGCACCAGTTTTCGTCGCGCAGAGTGCCGCTGTTGATGGAAGCTTTACGGCGTGATATTAGGTTGTCCTGAAAGTCTTTGCCCATTTCCATGTGTATGTTGTGAAATCTCCAGGGATAATTTTTGAACATCCATTGTAAAACGTATGTGAGCCCCAGTCGATGATCTCTCCAGAGCATCTCTGCCGTGGTATTTCGCAGCGATTATGGCTGAAAAAATCGACTTTGACTGAAAACATAGTTTGGCTACTCCTTGATTCTAGAAACCCAGAAATTGTGTCAGTGGAAGCGATGTGGCAAGAGCCCTACGTATCGCGATGAACCTCCAAAGTGTCCTCTCAATACATGGCAAAGATTTGGTTGCCGATGTCCAGAAACTCAAGAAAAAAGCCCAAAGTCGGTTGGCTTGTTACCCTGAGTGACGAGTGTCTTCTGGAGTTGTCTGAAACAGTCTCTGGTGCAATGCACACTAACTGACACAGCTTTACTGCAGTCATCATAACACAATAGCCATTCCTCAATAGCTCCTCAAGAAAAGAAATTATGGAAAAAGGGGATTTCGTGATCTGGGTGACAACCGCCATCAGAAGCCTTCAGATTTTGCATGAACATTTTGATTTACCGGCTGTATCTTGTTTGACCCGACTACTTTGTTGGTGGTAGCAAGGAGTGGCGTTTTTTTCAGATAAACCACACCCGCGAGCGCCACTGGCTCAGACGCGTAGAACCAGAGATTCCGACGTCCACTCCAGCACTGCAACTTGAGAGGCAACTTTCAGACTTGGTAAAGCTGCAAGCGATCCGTTTGCCGACAGCTCCTACCAACGAACTTCACTGCTGTTGTAGTTCGATAATGTGGGCAAGCGGATGGGATCTCCGGCACTATGCGTAGAAAACATCACAAAGATCACTTCATCCGAAACTGAAGGAATTTTGAAGAAGTCCAGCAAAAGTCTCCAAGCCCCTCATGGGATGTTCTGTCCCGCCATTTGTGTTCAGCCGATCCGGCCCCAACAGAATACCATCTGCTTCTGTTGCTGCTGATTCAACTAAAAGAGGGAGAGCTTTATGTTCCGGACTACTCGAAAACGGACTTCCTCCAGTTTTTTGCCTTGAAAGCTCAGGACTTCTAGGCAAACGGCATCCACAAGTCACCTGCTGAAAGGCAATGTTGACGATGACGATGGGGCATATGACTGTAAATTGCTGACTGGGTTAAAGAAGAAAAGTGGATTTGAAAAAAAATCGACGAAATGGGCAAGACTTTCAGGACAACCTAATATTCAATGGGCGTTCCTCCATAAGCAGAGCCATGCCCTCTTCATTGCTTTAGAAGATTGACCGTTTACTCGAGCACTTAACTGCTAATTTTATTTTGATGGAGTAGCTGATAAATTCTCGTTCTAGAGACAATAGCTCTGCTATTGCACATACCGCTTTTGACCAGTGCACAATAACGTCTATTGCCGTCCACGCATCGTCGACGACTGTGAGCTCGTATCGTGCGCATGTCCCCAAACGGGGAAATCTTGTCTAGATGTCTCGGGGGTTCGAAGGAATCATGCGAATTGGTTTGACTGGGAATGGCCTCTTCAACTCAGCTAGGTCATTCGGTTTTGATTAGCTAAGTGTAATTAATACCGTGGTCGAGGTGGGAGCAGGGTCAAGCGTGCGTTGAGGAATCCTCGACATGTCACAGAGGGGGGGGGGTTGTTGGCCCGCTGGGGAGAGATCGGGCCCGATTGATACAGTAGGATCATCGTCGGAGGACAAACATTAAGGATCGAATCGATACCAGGCCAGAGTATTTCCAATAACAATTGATTCCGTCCACACAAAATCTTCGTGATTTAGAGGTGTCCGCTTAGCAATTCTTAGTGACTTTAGTGTTTCATCACCACACAAGTCAAAGGATCCGAAATTCGCACGTTTTCTAGGGATATTTTATCTTTCAAGTAGGTCCTCAAATCCAACGAGATGTGAAGCACACGGCGCATCCCAGAGTGGGCCCAGTTGGTTGCGCGCGCTTCAGCTACGGCTATCTTGATAACGAATCTTAATTCAGGAAGAATCAAGAGGGTTCTGAAAGAGTTCACTATTCAACAAGAAACGCAGCCTTCAGCGTCAAATTCACAAGCATGTAACCTTTAAAGTTGAGACCCGCTAAACAATTTTACACTTTTTGCAGAGAGAAAAGCACGAGGATTTTGAATCTGCTCCTACTTCAGTATGTAATCGCTCCTGCAAGGAGCTATAGTCGTTGGGATAGTGCTAATGTAGCGAAAAAGTACCTTTCGGCGGTACTCGGGCAAAAATCTCAACGTGGCCATTTTTTAAATAGTGAACGTATTTAGCAGTTTTAGTTGCCTATAGAAAGAGCAAATCTTCTAGTTTATGATGACGTATTAACTTTCCAGATTGCATGAGTTTGAACGGAGTTATGGCTTTGGGAAAGCGTAAAAACTCGCACTCATCACGAATTTTCCTCGTTAATTTTGCAAAAATCCTCAACGTGGCCATTTTTTAGTACTGGACGTATGAAGCTGCTTTAGCGACCGTTTGATAGAGAAAATCTTCTAGTTTTGTATGACGTATCAACTTTTTGAATTTGACGGAAATGAAGCAAGTTATTGCTCCGGAAAGTGTAAAAACTCGTGCTCGTCTCGAATTTTCCTCGTTATTTGATCTAAATTTGTTATTTCTTATAACTTCCTGTAATTTCAGTACTGATTAGAAAAAGCTCTTCACAAAACTCCCAAATCAGCTTTCAGATTGAAAATTCGTTAACTTTGAAGAAAGTTATAATCATTTGAATATTTGTTCAAATTTCAATAGTAAATAAGCTGCTCCACGGTCAACGCCAAAGTCCAGTCAACACACAGCTGGCGAAGGCTTTTACAAGGCTTCCTTTGAGCGAAAGGGGGACGTGTAAATTGAGAACCATAATCTGTGTAGTACTAGAATTTGGTAAGTCTTGTGGAGGAAATAAACAAAGAAGAGGTTGTCATAGTACGCCATTTCTAGTGACTAGTTTGACGTTTTTTGCTCCGTTTCTCGTTTGCTCGTTTGACAGGACTCGTCATTAATGATTAACGAGTTTTTTGTGGACGATGGGGTAGCAGGGCTTTTTTATGAGCAGTTTTGGTGGAGAATTAAACAACTTTTTCATAGTTCGGCTTTTAAAGAGGGTTGTTTCATGGACTTCGGCCTTCGGCAGAGGGAGGGGGGGGGTCGTATTTCCGAATTTTCCTCGACGCCTCGCTTGACCCTGGTGAGAGGCAGTCCACTTTTTCTTGCCCCCCACCTGTAATGTGCGGTCGTTATTGGCATCATTGTGAGAGTGAGAGGAAATCGTACCGATACCTAATATGTTAAAGAAAGTTGGTGCTTGGTGGTACTTGGAGAGTCGTTTGTCATCAGGTATATTGATCGGCCCTCTACGAAATCAGTAGAGATTTCTACTCATAGTGTCACCTTATCATACGAACCTCCTTGCATGAGTCGCCGTTGCAGAGACGCTGTCCTGAACGCTTCTTTGTAGATGTCGCGCTCTCTCGTCCAAACAAGGCAAGTCATGCCCGAGTATAGCAGGAACTTATGAAGATTCACATTGATGGACTGCACATGTGACAAGGCTGTCCTGAAATGAACAACTCTGCTTTTCTGCATTCTTCTTGAAGGGTTAAAGAATGGCTTTCAACTATTGATACACTCTTCGATGCATGCAAAATGCAACCAAATGACTAATTGGTTGTGGGTTAAAAATAGTTCCACTGTAGAATCTACAGGTATTTCTGAAGTTTCTTTCACACTTCCGCCCGTTTTCATCAATTTGATTTCCTACCGCTCAGCAATAGCTCATCATTCGTTGAAAGGTTAACCAACTGCAGAAACGATCGTCGAGTGCAGATTCCATCAAAAATAAAGTAATGCCTATTCCAACAATAAAAAGAGGGTAGCAGTGTTGAAGCTAACCAGGAAGGTCTTTCAGGGCGTGCCAAGCTTTTTGAAAACGGTCTTTTGCATGATATAGGGGCACATGCGGGAACCACAGAACCATGTTAAAGGAATCTTCCACGGACCATGGACCAGTGGGCGGGACCGGAAGTGGTTTTGCGACGAAATGCATGGTAGGTACGGATCCACGTTCATGGGAAGGTTTGAAGTGAATCCTGTTCACGTTCGTGCGTTCGACACGTGGATCCGTACCTACCATGCATTTCGTCGCAAAACCACTTCCGGTCCCGCCGGTCTACGGATGGTGAGTGGTACACGAAAGAAGGAAGAACCATGAGAAACGGCCCAAAACCCGAGAAATGGTACCCCTTCCTTGCCCGTTGATTCGAGCATTGATGCAACTCTCATCGCTGTGCCCTCTTCAACATTAAGCTCTCTCAGCTATCCAATCACTAGCCAG